TTAATCAATTTTCGCCCAAATTTTATTTTTGTTTCACATAGGACCAATCAAAAAACTAACCGGTACCATGGGTCTGGTTTGGTTTTCATACCAGGTGGCCCGGTTGGGTATTCGTAGGTGCTTATCACTCCTCCCTCTTTCTCTTTTCCACCTTTCTTTTCTAAAATTAGTATTAATGCACGTTAGCCCTCTATTCATGATCAATGGGACATGAGATCAAGTGTGTTTAATTATGCATTAGATGCCACGATACTCTCCATGTGTAAATTAAGAAGCTAAAATTCATCTTATCCATTTATTAAATGCCATGGTTTTCTCTCTTCAAAAACTGCATAATGAGTTTTAGATACTCAATTGCAAAATTCAGAAAGTAGGATTTATCTTATCCATAGATAGATAAGATGTAATCCAGTATAAGATTCACGTTGTACATTGGTTCACATTGGGCTCATATGTTCATATGAGCTAGTAGGCTAATCTCATCTTTTTTCATATATATATATATATATATATAAGTATTAAATATTATGAGTAAAAAATACAGTTATAATTATTTAAATATTAAATATTATTAAATAATAATACTATTTAGGTCGGGTCCAAGTCCACATGAACCCAAGCCTAAATAGTATTCAAGTCCAACATTTAGACCGAGACCCGGAACCAGGTCAAGTCCCGGTCTATTGCCAAGCCCACTTAAAGAGGACTTATCGAATCTAAAATTTTGATCCACTTTAGTATTTGGATAGCGTTTTGAAAAAAAAAAAAAGGAAAATAGAGTTCTAACTTCGATCTGGTCAGTTTGAGTCAAATCATCCTCACTATCCAAACTGTATCCTAATTATTTATTATACGATAAGTTTCTGTCAAATATAAAATGCAAATAATGTTTATTTTATATTATATTTAGATTTATCACACGATGTGAGGTTACATCCTTAGAAGTTGGAGTCCCAAAAATACTCATAACTTTTGCCATAATTACATATATCAGATACGATCTTTGAAAAAAAAGCTGAAGGGGCATTGAATGCAAACAAATACAAGGATATGGGGGAAATTACAAAAACAAAAACCCTAATACCGCACCCTCTACGTGACTTACCTATCTAACGATTGCTCACTTTTTTCTATGAAACAAATTTTTTATGCAAATACTCCCAAAAGATACTTTTCATTTTTTAAAACAAAAATACCCTTTCTGTATGCAAAAATCATTTTCGTGATGAAAATATCCTTTTCCTACACAAAAATTATTTTCGTCATATTTGACATTGACTTTTGAACCAAATAGCACATTGTCAGAGTGAACCATCACATTATCAGTGCGCACAAGTGCTATACTACCATAATACAACTTGGCGTTACTTTTGTACCCAGTAACACATTGCCAGAGCACACCATCACATTGCCATAACGCACAAGTGCTAGACCACCGTAAGACAACTACCAGTCCGAGTGAACCCAGTAGCACATTGCCAGAGCGCAAAAGTGCTAGACCATCGTAAGACAACTACCAGACCAAGCGCTAAGACAACTACCCGACTGAGTGAACCCATTAGCACATTGCTATAGCGCACAAGTGCTAGACCACCGTAATACAACTACCAGACCGAGCGCACCGAAGCTGAGTACTGTCGGACCGCTTTTATATAGTGCCAGAGTCTTGGAATCTAGTAACATTTACTATCAAACCACCTCGGACCACACTTTACACAGTGTCGGAGCCCTACTGGCGGACCGAAATTTACACAGTGTCGAAGCCCTATTGCTGACCGAAATTTACATAGTGGCGGAGCCCGAACCTTATTTACATAGTGCTGGAGCCCCTATTTTGATTGGATAGAGAAGAGAGATGTGTGGGTTAAGTTAAAGTAAAGGAGGTTAGTTTAAGTATTTTTTTATTTTTTATTTGGTTGGAAAAATTTACATAGAAAGTGTATATTTAAGAAAAAAGTGAGAGAAAAATTTAGATTGGTGTAAGTTGAATAGAAAGTGCAATCTTGAGGCTTTTTATAATTTTCCCAAGATTTTAAATAGTGAATAATGATGAAAATAAGAGTGCGATAGAAGACAATGAAAACCATGATGATTTTCACGATGAAAAACACTTTAGCTTAGAGAGAAAAGGAGCATGATTTCATCCATTAATTTGTATATATTAGTAGATTTAAGTATAATGTACATAGAAATATAATGGGTGAATAACAATAAAATTTTTAAGAACAACAGAAATCAATAATGCATTTTGGACTTCACCGTGTTAGACGCAATATCCGTTATGCGGAAGTATCAGAGTTCATGTCAATGATATATATTCGAAATACAATATAAGAAATGAATAAAAACTAGAATAAAAAAAAAAGTAGTCTTATATATAATTAAAATATCAAAAATTTAAAAATTCGAAACATAACAATATTATTTTATAATTTCAATGTTTATAATAAAAGCCTATGGCATTAATAAATATGAAAATTAAATATAAATAAATTTTCAATGCAAAAAGAATCAGTCAAAATCAATGGTTTAAAAAACGGATCGGTGACCCGGATCGGGCTTCCAAAAAACCGATCCGGATCGGCGAATCGACGATCCGGATCAAAAAT